TATATATATATCATTCAGCTGTAGCACCCTTTCGGTGCCTAGCTGCCATGTCACACGAAGGAGGCACGAGGATAAAACACCTGTAAATTGCTTCTCGGCTTTTCAGATAAGAATGGCTTCATTGACAGGATGAAATTTCGAATAAAAGTTACAAAACCTCCTCATATGGTTTAGCTATAACATCCTGTCGTTAGCTGACTACCATGCCATCAAAAGGAAGCACGAGGGCTGGCATACTGCCAGGTTGCCAGAGCCTAGACAGGGCAAGTCGAGAGGCAGACCGGGTCGGGTTCGACTGGCTATTGCTTCAGGGAGCAGAGTCTTCTTGATGAAATTGGAGTGCACGGATTGAAAGCTGTTGATTCTTAGGAAACAACTGCCCCACCCAGCCGAACAAACAATCTCCGTCAATTTTAGATTATAAGTTTTGAAATGTGATGTAGCCAGTTTTCTGCCGCGGTTAACACTTTTCTTGGAAGCATTTCTTTCGGGGACCCGGCTGGCTATGCTCTATTCTTCGACTCACCGTTTCTTTTGGAGCAGCAATGTACTCATCAGTCGCATTTGACTATGTAGGTAAAAGTAGCTTAGACGGGACCTAACAGGGCATGCTACTCGTTGCACACACCGTAAGTGTCCTGGGGATGAACCAAAATGACGTCCCGGGGTAAATCGACAGAAAATTCGTGTTTTCACTGTCTCCGTACACATCTAGTCTGCCAAAAGATCTATATTGATGAGTATTTTTGCTAATCCTAGTGGCACATAGCACCGGATTATGTCACAACGTCCTTCTGAAAAAGAAAACCCAACTCTCTTCAGTGTTCACGTTTTCTCCCGCATATCATTTGCTGCCATCGTGCGGTGAAACCACGCATTTACCCGTGAGGACAAGCGTGATGGTTGCACGTACACAATGAACGTGTGGTCTTTTTTTTTCAAGGACTCTCGCACCCCAGGACACAGCACCAGCCGTCACAATGGACCAATCAGCTTTGAGGATCGATGAACGAATCACAGGTCCGAATTGGTCTCATGCCTCGTTCAAGGTCACCACCGATTGCAATTTAAATCCTGCCGGACCTGGTCCGTCTATCTCGCTGCGCGAGCGTTGCCTCTTGGCTGCTTCTCGACGTCGGGTTTTGGAAGCACGTCTAGCCAGTGCACTCGCTAACGCCGATAAAGGTGTAAGGGGGACGTTAATCGAAGTGAGTATCAAACATTTTGCAGTTTTACATTTTTATTTCCTATCCAGAAGTAGGGAAGCAGCGGTGTATCGGTTTTCTCTCTGGTTTATCTGACATTCTTTCAGGTTCCCGCAGTCTTGTAATTCGCTAGCTTTTAGAACGGAGCTTAAATTAGAAATTCCGTTCTTAGTAGTGGTGCCGGGCGTATACTACTGATAAAAACTATGAGTAACACGTTTTCATAGCAGTTCGAAGTGTCACCACCGCAGCTGATCGACTGCTGGCTTGCAGTTTATTGCACTGTTCGAGATGGCTTGTTGACTGACGTTCAGGAAAGCTTAAGAATACACCTGAGAACATTGGGTTTCTCGAACTTCTTGGGAGTTCTGTTTTTGCATCCTACTTCCTGCAACCGCTCTGCTGGGGTTTCACGACAAATAGCTTCGTTCCGAACGCTACCTGGTTTTTCAGTACTAGCTTAGGGTTTTCCATATCACCCTTCCAGTCGGTCCTTTCCTCGTTCCCTCGGCTCTTTTTGTGCGGACTGGGCTACCGAGAACTCCATTCACACGGGAACAGGTTGAATCAGTATTCCCTCCAGGTTAGCTGGATAATCGTACCTGTTGCTGAGATACCCTTGCCAACAAACTAAGCTGATAGAACACGAAGTGCTACCGGACCGGTTTCACATAGATTCCACATGTGCATGCTGCGGAACCAAACTATTCTTCACAGCCAGTTTTTCCCCCGATTTTTCGATCCGAATCGGCTGTTTTGAAAGTTTGAATGGTCTCTGTCTCTGAAAATGCCCATACAAACCTCACCCTCATTTTGATCTGTTCTGCCGCTAAGCCATGCAACAATTGTTTTTTTCCCCAGGAGATTCGTGCTGATCTGTTTGCCCTTGTGGACGAACTTCTTCGTGATACCGAGTTGAAGCAACTGAAGTCTCACTTGGTCTGAGGTGCGTATGATTTCGTTTCCCTTCCGAGTATTGATCGGTTATCGCATGAATGCCAACGCGTTTTGTTTGACATCTCCAGATGGGTACATCTGAAAGAAAAACGTTTGATCAGACCAAGTCAGCTAGAAAAGTGGCTCGCTGTATTGAATATGGGCTGGCTGGTTTCTTAAAGGTACTTTAGTGGCCTGTTGTATCAAGGTTGCTTTGTGTGTGTGTGTGTGGGGGGGCGTGTCCCCATTTCCGTCCGAGAGTGTGAGCTAACCCTGACAGTTTTCCATGCTGCTTTAATGGTCCTACGGAGTTTTATGCACGTTTAGCGGTGTTCTCCGAGTCCAACGAAAAGTCTTAGTGAACTAGGCTTCTGAGACTGCCAACTTATCTATCGGTTTGCTGTTTTTCCAGTGTTCATATCACTGTATGCTGTTGCGTCTCACAGATTGCTTCCCAAGCTTTCTTCCATCAACCAACTACAACAGAATGCGTATCGCGGTCAGATACTACGCCCCGGTGCTCTATGCTGCATTCCCTGTGTTGTCGTTGGCTGCGGTTTCGTTGAATTGGATCAAGTTTCGCAAGCAGTGTTCTCAACGCAGTGCGTACTTTGAGAAGACTGGAGTGAGTTTTTCAGTCCTGGCGTTTCGTTCGTAGTTTTTCCCTCCGTTTCGCTGGATTCACACAGATTCTGCTTCACAGCTGACTAACAAAGGCTCTCTGGATACCTTCTTCTAATTCGGTGCACACGTGCTAGTTCAAAGGTTCTTCGGTTTCGAGTCTAGGTATCATTCTTCCACTGAGGCCAGTTGTTGTGGCTTGGTGGACGATCGTGCAACTCTGTATCGGTCCCTTGGCTTCCTGCTCCACCCACTGTGGTGTATCAAAAGACCTGTATAGCTCTACACAGCCCTTTATGGAGACAAAGGAAACTTAATACAACTGTATTTATAGGGTAGTCACAGTGTGTTCCACAAGGTTGTGCCAGAATCTCCATGAGTGCGCGAGAAGCGTCGATTCACAGGTGCTTGACTCAGATTGGCTGGCATTCTGACCAATCAGGGCATGCCTTCGTTTGGTCCTGCACGTGACACATCCATCCAAATGATGTGATGTTCGGTTATTAGGGACGGTTGGCCTCCGTACACCAGTCTAAGCTCAATGGCTGGGGAGTGCCGTACAGCTTTTGCATCGTTCGAACTCACCTTGGACCAACTTCAATCAGATTGAAATCCAAGCGCCATGCCATTCAGCAACGGGTGGTAGATAGTCACAGTGTGTTCGTACACAGTGTCGCTCATCCTTCAGTGATGGGATTTGGTGTTGATCGGCCTCCTGAAGTTAATGTTATTCTTTTTTCCAATTCTGAGCAGTTATCATAATTCAGTGGTAGTGAGGATATTGAATATTCACTTGTTTGTTCAATATGTTATTCACTGAGGCTGGTAGAAAGGAAATCGAGGCCATCACCGTGTAGTACATTCGCTTATCACACGCACCCCTGAGTTTTCTCAGTTTATCATAGGTGTGCTAACCCCTTTCACTTTCAGATCGACCTTGATCCCGGGAGTCCGCTCACCATCGATAATGCCCGAGCATTCGGGATGGCCGCCTTTCGCAAACTGCTGCCTTTCACTGATTGAACACCACGAGGCTCCGAACCTCGTGACGTTTTGCTCGTCTCTGTGTTAGCTATTACCTCATTCCGTTTAAATCTCTCACCTTTCGTCCCATTCATTCGTTTCCCACTTCAGTCTTGTCCGTTGTTGTGAACTCGGAGCCATCACCTCCCTCAAATGTTTTGATGTGCCGTTTGAAAACCCCACACTCCTCATTCATAACGCGTGTGGCTCATTTTGAAGCCGGTGTCATATTTCCTCCCGTAACACATCCATCTAACTGTGTACATCATACGTTGCGTTCTCCATTTGTACTATGGTGTAGTGCCGTTTCTCCGAGCCTCATTGGGGTCTAGATGACATTTGTGAATGTCTCGGATGGTTTCGGGATCTTGATGTCGTACAATACGGGAATGGTTAGATGTTGGACTTCCAAAGAAGTCGGTTATTAATAGGTGAGCAGTGTGATCAGTTCGTTTATCGTGAGCGAGTTATCCCTTTCGAAAACCACTCGAAGTGCTTCAGCATTTCTGACCCAGTGTTCCAACCAGACTCTGAATACATCGATGGTCAAACACTGGAAGTTTTTTGATGTCCTCGGCGCATACCGGCCAGATTTCTGACCCGTATAGGAAAATGGATCGCACCGGAGTCTTGTAGGCTCGGCCGTTGACGGATAAGCTGATGTCACATCTACGCTACAGATGATGCGGGTTCACGAGAGCTGCACTGGGCTTCCGAATCTTGCGCGAGACCAGTGGGACTGATACAGATGCCTAGGTAGAGGAATTCAACCGCCCTCTCAATCGTTTCATCCACAAGCATGAGGCTGGGGTTCGAGCCCACCAAGTCTTGCAGCAGCACTTTACACTTTGTAGGTGTGAAGCGCATGCCAAACCGGAAGGATTGTTTAATATTGCTTGCATCACCACGGCGTCAGATCCGAGAAGAGCTTTGTTGTCTGCATACTCGATATCTGTGATCGGAGCACTCTGCAGGTGTAGGGGGGGGGACACTTCGACACCAAAGGCATTACAGGCTGATAGCGAGTCTTCCATGATCGTATCTGTGACGAAGTTGAAGAGAAAAGGTGAAAGACGATAGCCCTGCCTGACATATTGTGAACTCAGGTGAGAGCTTCCCGTGGAGTTGGCGTGAGACGCCATAGTGCGTGACGGTCCACAGGGTCAAAGACCGATTCGTGTAGACTGAACTCCATGTCGTCACTGAGTTATTCAGGCTCTTAGGAGCAAATTGCTAACACTGACCCAATATTAAGCTAATCGTTCAGCTATAGCACCCCTTCCGGTGTTTGGCTGCCATGCTACCCGAAGGAAACACGAGGGCTGGGATACTGCCAGGTTGCCCAAGCCTAGATAGGGGAAGTCGAGAGGCAGAGGTCGGGTTCGGACCATGGATCTTCCGGTCAGTAAATTCTCACTCGTACCACTGAGCCAACTCGTCCCCAATGTTATCATTTTGTTCTGACGGTCATTATACACCGAACAGGTTCAGTCAAAAGTGAAGTAACTCTACATGAGCTTTACAGACCTCAGAGGGCACGGTGTGTGTATTCTGTCTCTGATGTTTTCGTTGTATTTGTTCGTATTCTGCGTGAAGACCAGATCCACCGGCTTTTGTCATTCCAAGATCAGCTTAATTTTGTGTCGTTAAAAGCCCCTCCTAAGATGTGGACTTACACAATCTTTGAATCCTGTTTGGACAAATTGCTTGGTCGCTTTGAATGCAGTTTTTTCCAAATCTTTGTGTATTTGACGAGTTGGTATGCACATCTGGATTTTTCCATTACTTTCGGTCAGACCATATGTGCTTCGAATAGCTCTAAACGCAATATGAAATAAATTCAGGTGGGAAGCATTGTTTCGGCCTTAAAGTGCAAGTACTTTTCTACAAATCAAACTGGTGTTCAGGTTGAAGACTGAAATGATAATTCATGAAAAGTGCGGATCCACAAAATTATGCGTTGCATGTAGAGTGTAAATCCTGACCACGCCGCAGCCGACGGACATTCTATACGCTTTATTACGATGCATGCCAGGTAACCTGAGGCTTTGAGATTATTGATTGTTGATCTATTTGTCGAACTTGGCAGGATCCAAATCTGTCCAAGTTCGCGTGAAACCATGATACCAGATCCGATGAACTGTCCCCTGGTTTTCAAAATCGATCGCGTGCTGCCTGCTCGCAAGATTTGGAACGTTTTTTGACAGATCATGCTACTTATGAGGTTGCTTAAAATGGCGATCGGTTTCGTCCTTGGGGCTCATCAAGTAAAATGCATCCCTCGAGTTTCCGTCAGCGTTTTATTTGACACGGAATCGCCTGTTTATTCTTTCGTCGACCATAGCTGAGGGCGAGGAGTGTCAACAGATAGATTTGGCAGGTATGTGTGCACAAATTCATCAGCCATGCATCTGGCCACTGGTCGTTTTCAACTCCCTCACAACTTCTCAACAGATTCATCAAACTGAACGAATTTCGAAGGCATAATCGTCCAGGAAATATGTCAAACATCGGACGATGGTTGCATCCACGAAAGGGTTCATCCAGTTCGTGCTGGAGGTTCTGATGTCAGATGTGGTTTTCCGACGCCGCTGATTGTTTTTGGATCAAAGGTTGATTGGTTTTTATGTGAATTCCAGTCTGTCACAAAAAGCGGTTTATCTGCCACCGTCGTGTGAACTAACCGTTCCGGTCACGTGGTCGTCTCACTCGTTGGGATGCCAGTGCCCGCCTACTGAGTGTCGTAGCGTGATTTCGTACTCAGGTTTTTATTTGCTTACCGACAATCCAACTGTGTCAACAGTTTAATGATCTTTAAATTGTTAGCTTGCGGCCAAGTGTCTATAAGAGCTGTCAGTCAGTGAAATGAACACTTTTCAAAAGGGGTTCATAACCGGTCAACCAGTCCACGATCTTTCGTACCATGTAGTAAGCAGATTGGGAAAGTAAAATCCATTCGCTTAGAAAACGGGTCCACTTTTGGGTGGACTGATGTGACAGGTGGCCTATCTTGTACGAAATTTGTTGATCACAGCGTGCCATTCGTTCCCTGTGTGTTGTCGGTTCGTCCGAACCTAGCTGCTTCGTTTGCACGTTATTTTCCGATCGTCAAGATGAATGCGGCTTTGAATGCTTCGCGTAATCTGTGAACAGTTGTGATGGTTCTGACCGGGAGAAACTTAGATCTGACAGACTTAGGGTGGCCACCCCCCGAGCACCCACATGTAAGCCTTCTCCGGTTACCCTCTTGTTGCACTCGCGTGTCTAAAGGATGATATCCCAAGGAAACGAATATTGTAGCTTGCTAGCTATTGGCATACACGCACGTGGTTAGGCTGCGATGCAGCGAGAAGGGCTTCTTTTTGTCTGAGTGAAAAAATCACAATCTCTTGTTGACAATTACTCGTTGCGGGTGCGTATACCTTCTGCGAAGTATCTCAAAGTTGTAGGCAGCAGTACCGGACTTTGGTCTCCTGAGTTCTCCGGCCAGCATTCTTTCAAATGGGTGTGTGCCGTTCTTGAATTTCAAATACTTGGTATGGACCCACGAAGCAATTGATATTCTATTGGCATGTGAAGTGAATTTTGCTCGGCTTTCTGATGCGTATATGACTACATGTATCTTGGTGCTTATGTTCAAAGTGGTTCCGTTGGCATCGAGCGATCAGCACAATCACTACAAGAAAATAAATCCTTCCGGTAATCAGCGACGTATTTGGGGTCGAGGTCGAGGCCATTTCTCTCAAGTTGGTTGGGTCTGATTGGGGCTTCGCATAAATTCGGCACCTATCGTTCGAACCGTGTCGTGTGATGCCAATCGGTTGACTTTGATTCATTTTGACAGCCCCCCTCGCTTTCCTTCCCTGAAACTAGGAGACTTGTGCGCAGAGGTGCTGCTAAAGAATGGGTTTGTAAATCGAATCGATAGGCTAGCGCTATAGAGACAGGGGGACGAACCTGTTAAGGTCTGTCCAACCAGAGGTCGATTTTTGTAGACATTAACGGGGAACTTACCGCACGTCATCGGTTCCAGGTTTCGATGCTGGTAAATATGAAAATCGCTAGCGGTGTGCCTGTAGCTCGTGTGTACCTGCTGGGTATGGTCATCCTTCTTTGTACCGCTCAGGAATCGTCAGAAACCGCCACTCCATCCCCCCACAGTGACCCTTACAGACAAGCTTGTGTACATCCTGTTGTCGAACGCAACCCCATCATGAATTTCATCGGGGCGAGATGGCACGGTGGATGGAGCGCGAATTTACTATCCGGAAGGTCCGTGGTTCGAATCCGACTTCTACCTCTCGACTTTCCTTGTCTAGGCCTGGGAAACCTGGCAGTATCGCAGCTTTCGTGCTTCCTTCTGCTGGCATGGCAGTTAGGCGCTGAAAAGTGCTACAGCTGAGCGATTGTCATGGTTTTCATCTGAGCTCTCATGATCGTGTACATCAGGCTAGCTGTGATTTCGTTAGATGTGATCACGAACGACAGATGTTGTCACCGTGTTATAATGGATTAGGAGCGGGCTTCTCTGAATGGTGTCATTCTCCTGAAAAGGCCACAACAACAATCGATCTTCTTCGAGAGGGTCTTTCTTCGGAATAAGTCGCCTCATCGCCCCTCGTTTTTCCCATGCACTATACGACATTTGAATGTCCTCTTGCAGACCATTTGTTCGGGCTTTTTAAACAGTAATTCTGTTTTGACTTTCTGCTCCAATACATGTCCCTTTCCGTTTCGCTTCTCTTTTCTGCTTGTTTGCTTGGCTGGTTAGTTACCTGTGTGTGTGTTGACCAGGTAGGTCAGATGAGTAGTTCGTTGACAGTTTGTAGAATCTATCATCTGGGAA